AGACTTCTTCTTCGTTAATTCCAGCTGCTCCCACCTCAAGAATTATAGGTTTCAGTCCAAGAATGGAAGCATATGCTAACCTAGAATATGCTTTTGTACAAACTGAATTTTAACGATGTTAAACTCTGTGTTTTCTTTTGATTTGTTGAGATGTTATACCAATATATTTCGTATTCTTGTTTCAACTCTAATATTATGTTAATCGGAGTCATTAAGTTTCCATTGATTATAATGGAATGTTACAGAATTCCAGGGATTATAGCAATTTGCAACATCTTAAAGCCATAATTACAAATTTTTTTGACCATATAAACAATCGGTTGACAATGTTAAATTGTTTCAAGAATATACCGCCCTTCCCCCAAGACACTTTTTAAGTTGGAAAAATTAATATGAATGATATTTTAGTAGGTAAATTAACNCCCCCAAGACACTTTTTAAGTTGGAAAAATTAATAAGGATGATATTTTAGTAGGTAAATTAACGTCTCAGATGGTCGTAAGCCCTTGAAGATAGATTTACGAGCCAAACTTGGCGTCGGGATACTTCTTGGGAACCCTCGGAGCCCCATTCCCGTAGCTGCAGGATACTAAGGAGCGTCTGTTGTTGCATCCGAGTTGATTGAAATTTCTATTCCTGTTGAAGTATTAAACTATATAGCCATTCAAAGCTCTATTGGAGCTGAATAACTTCTTGTTGATGTTCTAGTGGCATGGTACTTAACTCCTCCATGTTAGACTCGACACTTCAAGTAAGATAGATTCCATCGTGGGGTGTACCTGTGTCTGTAAAAGAACAAAAGAGAACGGATTACTACATATTGTTGTGTCGACCATGACGAAAAGTCGAAAAAATCCCAACATGAAGGTATAATAGTGTCTCTATTGGGAATTCACTTAACTTGCACAGGGGAAAATAAACGAATTTCAATTTCCATTATTATTTTGATCTAATCAAAATCGATAAATTAAAATACTCATTTTTAATTTATCATCAATTCAAATCTGTCGTCCCAAATTGACATCCAGCAATGTGTCGCGGTAATACATGTGAAGGAAAATGTCATGTGGTATAACAAAATCAAACTTGTCCGTTTACCATGAAACTATAATCATTTTGTCAATATGATCCGATCAATTGCGAGATATAGATATGTGTCAATTTTAATTATCGATCATATTTTTCTTCCCAGTATTAAGTCAATATAAGTCGAAAACTTCTTTTCAACTTATGAGTACACCTTAACCAAAGATTTTGTTATTAACTTGACTGAATGAAATGTAAATCATAATCTCTTACTATCCAAGAGTGACGAATCCTCTATTGATCATTCACAATCTTCACATAATTCTTGACTCGAATGATGTCATATTAATGACCCTTGATAGAGCAACATACAACATCACCAAAGTATGACCGTCCTCATTAAGGCATTATGATGGCCTCAAGTCAAAGGACCAATTCTACTTCCGAAAGTTAGAGATTAACCACTCATACTCAAACAACTCAGAAACTCTCCGTTGGGTTTCCGATGTTTTGTTTTATAACAAAACATCCAAGTATTCATTTAAGTATGCCCGCACTTTAACTTGTGATTCAGTTATTTACTTCACAAGTAAAAAATATCACGCATGATGGTCTATCCGTAATAACGATATTTGTATCTCGTTATTACTTACGACCACGGATGATTTAAGATTCAATCATTTGTAATTTGTATCACATAATTACAACTCTTTGTGATTGACAAATTACAAAGATTTGAATCCGCGGATTCTTTTATTTAATTTATTAGAATATTAATTCAATTAAATAATAGATCTTGCTATAAATATGCATAAATTATATATTAAGTGTGTTTATGTCCAAAGATAATTGGACTTAGGACATAACATTTGCAGTCTCCACTAATTGGCAGAATCCTTCTACTCCTTAGGAGCAAATCACTAATTTGTTTCAACATCACCAATATCTTAAAAACCATCTAGAGATAGTTATAAACCATGGCCAGTAATTTTCATAAGATTTACACTCGCGTACAACATAGCATAAATGGGGGACGTAAAATCAAATCTTTTATCCGATGAATAAAATTTACACTCACATTTGACAATAGTTTTGATCTTGCTCAGGAAAGAATGTCTAGTGGATCAATTTTATTTTTTTTTCACATTTTTCAGTGACTTGTTAATATTAATCCCCAAGAATAAATTGAATCAGAGTAGGTCTCTAGAAAATGTGTGAACAGCAGAAATCTACTCTCTCTAAAGTCGTTTAAATAAAAATTAAATTTTTATAAAAAATAATGAAATATTTGGTCGTAAAATTGATAAAAATTGTGAGTCTATGAAATGTGTGGTGGAAAAATGAGTTTGAAAAAAAAAAGTGATTAATTTAAGTCAGCTAGAATTTTGTATTTTCTTATGCACAAATGTAGTCTTCACTAATAGTGGGACTGGGAAGAATAAAAATATAAGAAATATATCAATAATAAATATGACTGAAACTAAAATAATGAGGGAAAAAGTGAAAGAACTGGAAAAATTGAGAAACTTACACACATGTGGCTTGAACTTACACGTAGTACAGTAGGAAATAGAGATTTGCACGCGTGTCCCTATTTCATTTCCCTTTCATTTGTCAACTTCTCTTCTGAAAGAAAAACTAACATCAAACATGTGCAGAAAATTAGCAACGTAATCTCAACTTTCTCTATAAAAATAAACAGTAGACTGATAAATATTTCTTGAAGGTGAAGATCTAAAGAGAGAGAAGAAGATGGCTGAAGATCAATTCTATGCCATGAATGAAGGAGATGGCCATCAAAGCTATGCAAAGAATTCATCTTACCAAGTATGTCGGATGCTTGAAATTTCTTTATATTCTCTAAATATGTCAACCAGTTATGGAAATAAATCTGTTGTTGTTTTGTTTAAGTTCGTATTTTTTTATTATAAATTTATAATGCAGCGAATAGAATTTTACTTTAAATAATTTGTGTTCAATTGATTTTTTTATAAAATACATTTCTGCATTTTGAGTTTTACATGTTTTGATGATATGTCTGGTTTTTATACAGGGAGGAGTAACGGAGGCTGCAAAAGAAATCATCAAAGAAGAAATTAGCCAGAAACTTGACATTGAAAATCTCTCTTTAACTTCTACTAATTCTATACGCATTGCAGATTTCGGATGCTCTTCCGGGCCTAATACATTCAATGCAATGCAAATTATAGTTGAATCAATAAAGAAAAAAATTGAAACAGTTTCTCATCAGATGCCTGAGTTTCAGGTTTTCTTTAATGATCGGACCTCCAATGATTTCAATATTCTGTTTGCTTTACTTCCGTCGGAAAGACAGTACTATGCAGCCGGAGTTCCCGGTTCGTTTCACGGTCGCGTGTTCCCTAAAGACTCCCTTCACTTTGCTTATTCATCTTGTGCGCTTACCTGGCTTTCTGAGATTCCGAAGGAAGTGTTGGATCCCTTGTCCCCTG